TGTAGATTGCTTTATTAAGTACCCATGCACTTAGATATGTTTATGTATTTTTAAAAAATTAAGATGCCCAAATTTTTTATTACCATGAGGTCCAGAATGTTCACTTCACCTCGCCTTCGTTACAGTAACGTTAGCATAACGTTTTTTGGTCATATTATAAACGTTATGGTAACGTCATGATAACGCCCTGTGTTTGCTGGGTTGTTCATGTACAATGGTGAACTGACGCGCTCTGTGACCATATCGTTGCTAAAAATTCTTTCACTTTTAAATTAGACATAGACTGACTGCGATGTTGCTCTGTTTTGTTTATTTCTTCTTTGAGGATGTATAGCAAAGGCAGATTAATGGTTTACGAAGGCTAACTCCATTTACAAGTGATGTTTTGCCCTTTTGTGATTATATATTCATGTAGATAAAACAATTTCTGGGAACACCTATGTTTAAAACATTACCCTTTAAGTAATGTGCCCTTCACCGACGGTGAACTGGCATTTATCTGTTATTCAACAGCAAATTACATAGCAAATACCGCAAGTGTGCTTCATAATATGGTACTAATTGATACGCCTAATCCAAGCGTTACAGATGCCGGTTTTGTATAGATAAGACGACGATGTCTCGCTAAACCTATCGTTATCACAGGCATGGTATATTAATGCCGCATAGAACGATTGCCCATTATTGGTTTTTGAATTTTTTTCTGTAATTTTTAATATAAAATACAGTTAAAACAATAAACATTTTTGTTATTTGCATCTTTTGATATTCTTCAAGGCGTCAACTAATAAATAATGAATGTCGCCTTGGTTTTATTTTTCCTATTGTGGTATACATTGCATGACAAAAATTAAAAGCCCACAACGTAGGCAATGTATTCCTTTCCAACTGTCAACAATACAGGTGATGTAATAAGGAAGAGGGCGCTTGTTTGCATTCGACCTTGTTCAAAAACTTGCTTGCATTCTTGTTTTCCATTTGATCCTCCCCTTTGTCTGCCCTTACCCCCAAGATCTGCATCACTCATTATAGTTAAAATGTCAGTACACTAACTAAAAAAAACATCATTGAGATGTCATCATCGTGTATCAATAATTGCATAACGGTTAGACCTAAATAGTACTTTCGTATATGGTATTGTAGCAAATGACACGGTTTACTATCTAATACAGCACTTGTTAATGCACAACAATTAACACACTGCTTATGTCACATTACATTGCATGATGGCATTCGCTGCTCGGGGAAGATACAGTACATAAAAAACTAGACTCTAGAAAAAATATTTAATCGTATTCGTTCGCGCTAAGGCACCATAGACTCACAGCATTATTTAAAAAAGGGTGTAATGGTGCAAAGGATTCTAAATGCTAATAGGCAAAATGAGGCATGCAATTTTGGTATATGAATTCAGTGCTATATATTCCCAATTCATGACAATTTTGGCAAACTCATCTGGTACTTTTAATATCTAGAATCGCATCTATGAAACATATACACAGAAGTCCATCTAAAGTAGAGTAAAGAAAATCAATCGTCATATCCGACGGACAGTTAAAATTAAACACCCCCATAACTATGTAAACGGCACGCATCGGGTGCTAAAATGAATGAAGCAGATGGCAGTGTTTTAATGTCATTATATAGAACAAAATTGACGTTGCTGTCAAAACAATTCCTACATAAGAGACGGAAATAAATTGTATCCCATTAAAAACTTCTAACTGTTATACCATAACACCATAAAGCATCAAAGACACCACGTCCTCCTCGTTCCACGAAAAACTGTATATTCAATTGATTCCCTACATCTCCATTATTAAAGGGGCACGCTAATCCACAAACACGGAGAAACATAGACAAACGATCGTCAGAACAATATCCCCTTGCGACGTTAATTGATTCGGGTTTTAGGATACAATCGGTTTGATCGACCGAGGTCTTCTGATTTGTGTTTTCAGTTCTTGTTGCATTCGTGCCCGCTGCGTGATTTACCATATTTCCCTGGTGTTATAAGCTGTAATAATGTGCAGTTTGTTCTTGTAGGGACATTGACTCCAATATCATCCATATTGACCCGTCTTAGGTCACATTACAGGAAAATTAAACGAGTGTGTCATACAATACCAGTGAGCTTGATACGAACTCAATGGAACAAAAATGTTTGCAATGTACCTAGTCAGGAAATTGTCTCCATAATTGACAGTAACCAGCCTAATAAGGATTTTTCGTAGAAGTAAAAAGGGACAACAATGTTTAATCACGCCTGCCGTTTACATGCAAACTTCATTATATGGAGAGTGCAACAAAGATAATGTAATAATTGCGCCATAAAACACAGAAAATATACAAAAGAAAATGAATTACTGTAGAAGCTATTTCGCGAAATTCAGATTTTAAAGCCGAATATAATGAATATCAAGATGGATGGTTTCCCGGCGGGTTTTTAGGTCTTTATGAATTTGTGGTTATTTTCATTTAAAACAGAGGAGGCTTATTTTCTTTTTAGGAATATCAGATTATGTTTCAATCATCGTATTTTGGTCCATAAAGGGTATTGGAATGCAGCGTCACGTATTCGTCAGGATCAAAGGAAAACTAGAAGAAATGGTTTGCGTAAATATATAAGTATCCAATTGAGGTAAATGCTTGTAAGAGGCGATACACACATCACTCTAGTTGGCCTTCTCTCTTATCTCCCTAATTAAGTTACCCTGAAACTAAAAGCAGTTGGCTCACTCCAGTTTATGGAAATTACAGCACCGTTTGCTCTTGAGTCTCAAATTATATCGACCAAAAAGATAGATGAGAAGTTTTTATAAAATTTTGGGTACTCTAAATCTGGACCTAAACACTTGGCAAGCTGTTGATGCATCTGATGACATAAGGCGTGTTAATCTTTGGGGTAATCTTCACAAAATCACACATTATCGTGAATAAAATGAAGTATCAATCTTGAAAGACATTAAAATGTTATGGGCATGCATGTACACTATCAAGTTTCCATTACGGTCTACTGAAATCAAATTCCTCGCATATGGTCAAATGGCTTAAGCTTTTTTTTTCAGGCAGCTCAGAAACAACTCCCCAACACATCATCACAACCTCTCCCCCCCCTCTCTCTCTCTCTCTCTCTCTCCAGTTAACCACGATTGACAAAATAAAAAAAATCATTCCAAAAATATAATTTAATCATATTTATTTGGTGAATTTAGTCATTTCATCCTTGAGCGAATAACACGTAGGTTCATCACAGTAATTTAGTATCACGTTGCGTGGGAATCGAACCAAGATCCCGGTTGGCGAAATTCCTTGCGCATGCGCACAATTTGGTAGACATTATCCTCCTTGTACGCCGCCCATTTGGCATTATTCCTAATTATGTCATGAATTTCTGGGACGTGAGGGTAGTCACAAGATATGGCAAACTGGCGAACAAATAATTTCGTGGCGTCGTTGCAATGCTTGGCGAAGAGACTTTTCTTGATCATGACTAATTCAGCGCCGTTGCTTACCTTCAAATAAGAGTAAACGGAATACTTGAATTATATTCCTACAGTATCTTGCATGCTAAAATCATAATCTATCTATCCATCTATCTATACATACATATATTATTTTATACCCATTGGTACGAATACCATGAAATTAAACACATTTCACATTGTGCACACAAAGTTATAGAAAGAAACGATATAACGGTACATCAGTTATAGAAAAAATATTTTCAATCTCGATTTTCAGTCTCTCACATGTTAGGGCCTATGCTCTGAACTCATCACTAGAAGCTGGCGTTTGCATCATTTGGGTTCCAAAATTACATCAACATTAATTTCCTGTTCGTCAAAATTGAATAAGAGTATATTGTCAGCACAGATAAACGCACTAATTTCGAATTATGTTCGTGATAAAAAAATAAAGACACATTAATACAAAAAACAGGGAAAGTATTATGGGCTGTCTAGACAGACACATTTGGTCCATGCCATTAATTCATTAATATTAATGTAATGAGGCAACAATTGAACAAACGCTATTGAATTTTTAAGATACNCGTATTACACCGTATTACACTAAATTAAATACTCCGAACTCCCGTGTCTCCCAGTGCGTGAATGAACATCGCCAGTAGCACGAAACCAAAAAAGTTCAACTTCTAATAGACTACTGTGCTTTCCATCCTACGTATTTAATACCAAATTCTATCTCGGGCTTATCTAAAACATCTGATTTGTCAGGCATATATATCTAATAGCTAATAACAATAATGTTCAACGTTTGTGTTATGGGGGTCTTGGGAATGGGACATGCCAACTTCATGCACAATGGCAATTGCGTACTATAATTGCTACCAGCTGCAGAATACATTTTAATATTTTTTGATATAGCTATTACTATGACAATTATCTCCCATCAAATACGTTTTATATTGAACTCTGTACTACTGCCTATTTCTCTGTAGTATAAAGGTACTGTGTTCCGTGAAGTATTTGTCAAAGCTGTATGTTGATTTCATTTTGCTGAATTTAATACGCACTCTGAAAATCACTGAAAATCACATATTTTTTCTAACCGTATAAAGCCAAACTAATTCCTCTGGTGTCTCGCAAATGGGCATCCCATGGTTAGAAATAATAATTTTACGGTCTGCTCTGACAGTGCGTAATAGGTTAAGCCGTCACAATTTCACTGGGAATGCAACCCATATGTAGGCCTATGATTCTCTAACGTTGCGCACATGCATAGATTCCTAGCCTCTGGCTTACACACAAGTGAACGTGTTACCCATTGGGAAAATCACTCAGAGCTTTGCGAAGCAAGAAGTCACATGGGTCTAATAAAAGCAAATTTCTATTAGCAGTAATAGATACGAATGCCAATACCATTGAAATTAAGTCTTATCTGTTAAAGTAAGAAAAATATAGCGCACGATAGAAAACATTAATTCCGTCACACATTCTAATCGTGTACAGTAATTTCAAGAGGATAATGGTACTTACAATGCCGTATACAATAATATGGTCAACTGTATTGTAAAGTTGATGGTTCCCACCACATTGTTTTTGATGACCACATATTTGGGTGTCTCGTACTCGAATAGTCCTCTCGCTGCTATTTTCACGTCATCTAGCGTCAAACACATTTTCGATATATATCCTTCCTTCAGTTCTTTCCAAACTCTCAGTAGAAACCGCTGTCCATGTACTCCGATCTCTGTTTAGATTCAGAGATTTCTGGTTCAGTCGAAAATGAAAATAACCTTTTAAGAAGGCCCTAATACTCCTGTCGTTCTTCGGTGTTGTTTTTAAAATTGTTTCTGCGATCCTTGCCAATCTCCGGTTGCTTTCAACACGGGCTGAGCTAAAACTTATATTTATACATATATTAAAAGGGAAGTCATACCAAATAGGTTACGGCAATCTCATCTCCAAACATCAAGGAAGAAAACCCGTATGGAGCAATGCGATGGTTCACGTGTGATCCACAAGCCTGGAATCTGACAAGTGGAAAGTAAGCAGAATCGAAATGCCAATCATGGCGCATTCACCACACGTAATATCTCTGCAGTGCTCTTCGCTTATGCTTCCTCGTTCTAGGGCAAAATGCAGGAGTTACATCTCCTTTTTTCGCCGAGTTGATATTACTCATCCCTAATATCCCTTGATTATATTCATGATAGTGGAATCGTGGTAAAATTACCACTAGATCCTACGCATTCTGGCCCAGGTAGCCTCTCTGCCAAACCTCTCTAATAATGAAATTGCGCCTATGTATTCGTATCAGTTGTTGGAGAACTGCTAAGCTAGAATTATTTTTTAAGTGTAGATATATCAGTCGCCCAATGCAATTAAAGATCCGTCATTAGTGGCTTTGGTAACAGTCCGACAATAGCAGCGTTGGTGATATTTAACAAACTTCTTACAGATTTTTCCTAAACTTTCAAAACCTCCTAAGGCGAGAATGAAGTCTTAAACGCATGCACTTATTGAAGAGCAAAGAAGCCACGAAGTGTGAAGATACATATTTGTGGAATACATTTGACCAAACAGAGGGTTAACTCAAACGCGCCTGCGCATCTGTCATATAAACGTTAGTACACCTCATACGCTCTCTCTATTGCTCTTTTTGTCATTATACCTTGTTTAAAGAACGGGAACAAACCGCACAGAATTATGCTTTGGTCCTTACACTACACATGCTTAATGGAATTGATTTCTAGATGACATTGAAATTTTTTGTACAATACCGTAATGCCATCCTTCAATTGGTGATAATGCTAAAATATTGAACATATCTAAGCGAATAAGTAGGTTAAAACTAGTGTATTTATGTCTATAATTGACGACTTTGTGGGTTTTAAATTGAGGTTTGGGCGGTGAATATAAAATAGTTTACATGTAGATTGCTTTATTAAGTACCCATGCACTTAGATATGTTTATGTATTTTTAAAAAATTAAGATGCCCAAATTTTTTATTACCATGAGGTCTAGAATGTTCACTTCACCTCGCCTTCGTTACAGTAACGTTAGCATAACGTTTTTTGGTCATATTATAAACGTTATGGTAACGTCATGATAACGCCCTGTGTTTGCTGGGTTGTTCATGTACAATGGTGAACTGACGCGCTCTGTGACCATATCGTTGCTAAAAATTCTTTCACTTTTAAATTAGACATAGACTGACTGCGATGTTGCTCTGTTTTGTTTATTTTTTCTTTGAGGATGTATAGCAAAGGCAGATTAATGGTTTACGAAGGCTAACTCCATTTACAAGTGATGTTTTGCCCTTTTGTGATTATATATTCATGTAGATAAAACAATTTCTGGGAACACCTATGTTTAAAACATTACCCTTTAAGTAATGTGCCCTTCACCGACGGTGAACTGGCATTTATCTGTTATTCAACAGCAAATTACATAGCAAATACCGCAAGTGTGCTTCATAATATGGTACTAATTGATACGCCTAATCCAAGCGTTACAGATGCCGGTTTTGTATAGATAAGACGACGATGTCTCGCTAAACCTATCGTTATCACAGGCATGGTATATTAATGCCGCATAGAACGATTGCCCATTATTGGTTTTTGAATTTTTTTCTGTAATTTTTAATATAAAATACAGTTAAAACAATAAACATTTTTGTCATTTGCATCTTTTGATATTCTTCAAGGCGTCAACTAATAACTAATGAGTGTCGCCTGGCATTTATTTTTCTTATTGGGCGCTTGTTTGCATTCCACCTTGTTCAAATGCTCGTTTGCATTCTTGTTTTCCATTCGACCTCCCCCTTGTTTTGCCCTTACCCCCATGTTTTACATGTATATCACTCATTATAGTCAAAATAGCAGTAACTAAAAAAAAAAAACATCATTGCGATCTCATCATCGTGTATCAATAATTGCATAACGGTTAGACCACAGAAGTACTTTCATATATATATGATATTGTAGCAAATAACACAGTTTATTATCTAATACAGCACTTGTTAATGCGCAACAATTAACACACTGCTTATGTCACATTACATTGCATGATGGCATTCGCTGCTCGGGGAAGATACAGTACATAGAAAATTAGACTCTATATAATTATATATAAAATTAATGATAACGCAGTAGATACTCCAGCGCAGTAGACTACTGCAATCATACTGCAAACCACAGTAGACTACTGCAATCATACTGCAAACATGCTTCAAATCTGCTTCGATTTGGGAGCTAATTAGCATATTTGAAACATGCTTCTATCATGCTGCTAATCTACTGCATTAATGCTCCTCTCTGTACAAACCTATGTACTTTTTAGAGTAGAATTGCAGTAGGATATGCTGCATTTCTACTGCAAATATGCTCCACACCACTACTGCGTTAATGCTTTTTAGCTACTTCAATACTACTGCATTTTCGTGCAATTAGAAAAAATATTTACTCGTATTCGTTCGCGCTAAGGTACCATTAGACTCACAGCATTATTAAAAAGGGTGTGATGGTGCAAAGGATTCTAAATGCTTATGGGGTAAATGAGGCATGCAATTTTGATGTATGAATTCAATGCCATATATTCCTAATGCATGACAATTTTGGCAAACTCATCTGGTACTTTTAATATCTAGAATCGCATCTATTAAACATATACACAGAAGTCCATCTAAAGTAGAGTAAAGAAAATCAATCGTCATATCCGACGGACAGTTGAAATTAAACACCCCCATAACTATGTAAAAGCAAGCATCGGGTGCTAAAATAAATGAAGCAGATGGCAGTGTTTTAATGTCATTATATAGAACAAAATTGACGTTGCTGTCAAAACAATTCCTACATAAGAGACGGAAATAAATTATATCCCATTAAAAACTTCTAACTGTTATACCATAACACCATAAAGCATCAAAGACACCACGTCCTCCTCGTTCCACGAAAAACTGTATATTCAATTGATTCCCTACATCTCCATTAAGGGGCACGCTAATTCACAAACACGGAGAAACATAGACAAACGAACGTCAGAACAATATCCCCTTGCGACGTTAATTGATTCGGGTTTTAGGATACAATCGGTTTGATCGACCGAGGTCTTCTGATTTGTGTTTTCAGTTCTTGCTGCATTCGTGCCCGCTGCGTGATTTACCATATTTCCCTGGTGTTATAAGCTGTAATAATGTGCAGTTTGTTCTTGTAGGGACATTGACTCCAATATCATCCATATTGACCCGTCTTAAGGTCACATTAAAGGAAAATTAAACGAGTGTGTCATACAATACCAGTGAGCTTGATACGAACTCAATGAAACAAAAATGTTTGCAATGTATCTAGTCAGGAAATTGACTCTATAATTGACAGTAACCAGCCTAATAAGGATTTTTCGTAGAAGTAAAAAGGGACAACATTGTTTAATCAGGCCTGCGGTTTACATGCAAACTTCATTATATGGAGAGTGCAATAAAGATAATGTAATAATTGCGCCATAAAACACAGAAAATATACAAAAGAAAATGAATTACTGTAGAAGCTATTTCGCGAAATTCGGATTTTAAAGCCGACTATAATGAATATCAAGATGGATGGTTTCCCGGCGGGTTTTTAGGTCTTTATGAATTTGCGGTTATTCTCATTTAAAACAGAGGAGGCTTATTTTCTTTTTAGGAATATCAGATTATGTTTCAATCATCGTATTTTGGTTCATAAAGGGTATTGGAATGCATCGTCACGTATTCGCCAGGATCAAAGAAAAACTAGAAGAAATGGTTTGCGTAAATATATAAGTATCCAATTGAGGTAAATGCTTGTGAGAGGCGATACACACATCACTCTAGTAGGCCTTCTCTCTTATCTCCCTAATTAAGTTTCCCTGAAACTAAAAGCAGTTGGCTCACTCCAGTTTATGGAAATTACAGCACCGTTTGCTCTTGAGTCTCAAATTATTTCGACCAAAAAGATAGATGAGTTTTTATAAAATTTTGGGTACTCAAAATCTGGATCTAAACACTTGGCAAGCTGTTGATGCATCTGATGACATAAGGCGTGCTAATCTTTGGGGTAATCTTCACAAAATCACACATTATCGTTAATAAAATGAAATATCAATCTTGAAAGGCATTAAAATGTAATGAGCATGCATGTATACTATCAAGTTTCCATTACGGTCTACTGAAATCAAATTACTCGCATATGGTCAAATGGCTTAAGCTTTTTTTTCAGGCAGCTCAGAAACAATAAAACAACTCCCCAACACATCATCACATCCTCTCCCTCTCTCTCTCTAACCAGTTAACCACGATTGACAAAATAAAAAAAATCATTCCAAAAATATACTTTAATCATATTTATTTGGTGAATTTAGTTATTTCATCTTTGAGCGAATAACACGTAGGTTCATCACAGTAATTTAGTATCACGTTGCGTGGGAATCGAACCAAGATCCCGGTTGGCGAAATTCCTTGCGCATACGCACAATTTGGTAGACATTATCTTCCTTGTATGCCGCCCATTTGGCGTTATTCCTAATTATGTCATGAATTTCTGGGACGTGAGGATAGTCGCAAGATATGGCAAACTGGCGAACAAATAATTTCGTGGCGTCGTTGCAATGCTTGGCGAAGAGACTTTTCTTGATCATGACTAATTCAGCTCCGTTGCTTACCTTCAAATAAGAGAAAACGGAATAATTGAATTATATTCCTACAGTATCTTGCATGCTAAAATCATAACCTATCTATCTATCTATCTATCTATCTATACATACATATGTTATTTTATACCCATTGGTACGAATACCATGAAATTAAACACATTTCACATTGTGCACACAAAGTTATAGAAAGAAACGATATAACGGTACATCAGTTATAGAAAAAATATTTTCAATCTCGATTTTCAGTCTCTCACATGTTAGGGCCTATGCTCTGAACTCATCACTAGAAGCTGGCGTTTGTATCATTTGGGTTCCAAAATTACATCAACGTTAATTTCCTGTTCGTCAAAATTGAATAAGAGTATATTGTCAGCACAGATAAACGCACTAATTTCGATTAATGTTCGCGATAAAAAAATAAAGACACATTAATACAGAAAACAGGGAAAGTATTATGGGCTGTCTAGACAGACACATTTGGTCCATGCCATTAATTCATTAATATTAATGTAATGAGGCAACAATTGAACAAACGCTATTGAATTTTTAAGATAGTTATTTCAGCTTACAATTTCGTAACTTAAATAATTGATGATTAATTGGAAAGACGAGGAGCGAAGGCGTAACAAAATATTGTTGCAATATGTATTTTGAATGTATAGGGGACATTGAACAATAGGTGTATCGTAGCATCGGCAATAAATATGATTGCTAAGATAAAAATTTAATGTCAAATCCAGGAAATGCATTTAGAGTGTAAACAAAGACCGATCGTTACCACGAGTATTTTACATAGTCTTAATATGAAATACGATACTTGAATAAAAGAAAATGAAAACGGAAAATTAAGTCAAACATACTCTCAAAACTTACCCTCGGGAAATGAAACTTACAGCTAGTA